ACAGTGTAAAACACTTGATCTTTATTATTGTTCAGAACATTCTGAACACTGTGTAAGTATCATTGTGACCAGTGGTGTATAAAGTACCTGAAAGCCATACTCAAGTAAAAGTACAGATATCTTACCAGAAAATGACTTTGGTAGAAGCTGAAGTCTAGAATATTACTTGAGTAAAAGATGCAAAACAGTGCTGTGATCTTTGTTTGGAACTATTTCGTTGGCAAAACTGAGCAAAAACAAGCAATATTATGTCTAAAATGTAAGTCACTTATTGCTTTACTGAACTTGTATAAAATGATTATTAAATGTTCATGCTGATATCTGCAGAAAAACGGTACTCTTTGTGTGCTATAGATTAAGTCAACTATATTAAATTATATCCTAAATATAAAAAGCTGTTTTGCCGTCTACAATTTAGAATGCCTTGAATTTTGAGTTTTAATAGACTAATAAATCAACGTGCGTGCACTCCGTGTGTGATTTGGTGATATAGCCTACTTGATAATGTCAGATCGCACATCATTACAAAAACACTTACCACATTATTGCAGACGATGCTGTATATCGCAGACCCCGGACTCGACTTGAGTGGAAAATGAATCATCCGCGGTTGTGCGCGCACTTGTTTACACATGAGCAAAGGTGTTTTTAGGAGTCTAACTTGTAAACGCCAGACCACTGATTCGTCAAACTTGCTTTCCTGCAGTTCTTCGGACTTCTGACTATTTTGTAGTAAGTAACGAATATGCATCGGGGAAATGTATCGGAGTAAAAGTATACATTTTAATTAGGAAATGCAGTGGAGTAAAAGTTGGCTGAAATATAAAAACTACCGTATATAAATATAAAGTACAGATACTCCCAAAAAATACTTAAGTACTGTAACGAAGTATTATTACTTCGTTACATTACACCACTGATTGTGACACATGGTTTAACTGTTTTTGATGAATATGACACCTTCAGACTTAAAACAGCTAATCACATGATGTTAACAAGGAGATTTTTAGGCTGTAATCTGAATCCCGACCCTTGGTTCAGGTGTAACCCTGTCTGCTAGAACGACTGAACATCAGACAGCCTCCCCTGAAGTGATGAGCGCTGTGTGCTGCTTTAGCGCCAGCCAACTGTCTTTAACCTCTGCTTGACCTTTGACACGGGCTATTACCCGATACCTCCCCTTGTAAGCTCAGAGCCATTAAGGTCATAAGGTTATGACCTGTGTCACTGCGCTTCACGTCTGATCTTCAGGAGAGTCCAGGAGGTGTGACAGGATGGAGTCATCTTTATTGTCAAGATTTTACACATTTGTTCTCTATTTCTAAAAAGAATAAAGGAAAAAAAGTTAAATTAAATTGATAAACATTACTAACACAATGTAATAATACTGCTTTTTATAAAGACTAATGTATTGTATAATCTTAATTTTTTTTATTTGCGGTTCAGGTCTTTTCCAGTAAATTCCAGCCATTACTGTCTAGTGTGCATCTCTCTGACCTGTTAATGTGGAGATTAATGGTGATAGAAGAAGCTTATTTGAAGAGCACGTCCATCATGGCTCTTTTGTCCTGCAGTGACACAAGCCTGTAGATCAAAATGAGATCATTAGGGCGTCTCTAAACACAACCTCCCTCCTGATGTTCCCTTGCCCACTCTGAGTCGCACAAATGATTTAGCATGAAGACCGAACAGATTGCAAGACAGGGAGATAAGAAGAGCTTTCTGGAAGGAAATGGAGTTTGGAGGGATGTATAAATGGCTTAAGAAGAATTGTGATGGACGTTAATCCGATGGTGGGTAGTGTGGGGTTTTCCTCTGTTGATGCAGCTGTCTGCGTCATGTAAACCTTCACGCTCACAATATTCTCAGTGTTGTGGCTAATAGGCCAACACCAGTTGGAGAGATGATGATTTTTGAAGCATCACTTTGTTGTGTAAACAGAAAATGGTGAACCGTCTGCACAGTTGAAGGCATATGCAATTTGGATGAATACAGTAAAAGTCAACATGAAATCAAAATAGCTACTTATTATATTAATATATGTTCCTGATTTTTCATCAGTGAAGTTATTCTAAAGAAAATCGTGTTTGTCGTCATAATCTTTACTCATTACTGGGACACAAACCCCCAAGAATTTGTTTTCAAAACAGCATCAAAACATTTAATTCTGGTGATTTTGGGAGTAGTTTTATTTATTTATTTATTTAATGATATTATCAAACAGGTTAACAAACAAACAAGTATTAACAATTAACAAACAAGGTCAATTTACGGTTTAATTTACTGTAGAGGGCCTTGCTAAAATTGCCTATGTATGTTTTTGTTAAGGTATAAAAACTGGTTACAGTTTGGTTGAAGACAATTAGATATATTTTTGAGATGGAAAAATGCAGTTTTACAAATGCTAGAAACGTGGCTTTCAAAGGAAAGATTGCTATCAACTAGCACACCTAGGTTCCTAACTGATGACGAGGAATTAATAGAGCAGCCATCAAGTCTTAGACAGTGTTCTAGGTTATTACGTGCAGAGTTATTAGGTCCTATAATTAACACCTCTGTTTTTTCAGAATTTAACAGTAAGAAATTACTCGTCATCCAGTTTTTAATATCAACTATGCATTCAAACATTGTTATAAATTGAAGCAACACCTCCCCCTTTACCTTTTGGACGCGGCTCATGTTTATAACAGTAATCTTGGGGGGTGGACTCATTTAAAATAATGTAATCATCAGGTTTTAGCCAGGTTTCTGTCAAACAGAGCACATCTAGTTTATGATCAGTGATCATATCATTTACAAAAAGTGCTTTCGTAGAAAGGGACCTGATATTCAATTAGCCAAGCTTTATCATTTGTTTATCCGTATTACATCTGTTTTTTTATTTGTTGAACATCAATTAAATTTTTACTCTTAATTTGGTTTGGACGTTTTTTGTATTTTTTAGTTCGGGGAACAGACACAATCTCTATAGTGTGATATCTAGGTGAAAGAGTCTCTATGTGCTGAGTATTAACTGATTTCTGTGACATGAGGAGGCTAGCAGACGGTCGGTTTAGCCAGTCTGTCTGCTTCCTGACCTGGGCCCCAGTTAGTCAAGTACAAACTCTAAGACTATGTGCCATATTTCTATAGAGAAGAGTGGCACCACCCCAGGAGGGATGAAGAACATCTCTTTTCAACAGGTCAGGTCTGCCCCAAAACTGACTGATTGTGTGTCTGCTGCCTTTTCTAACCAGTGTTAATCATTGTTTTGTATAAAAATGTAACAATAATAATCAAATAATTAAAGGTTTGTAATTTCCCTAATTACTCTAACATTTCATACATACTGGAAGAAGAGTAAACAGTAACAGAGCGAGGGTCGGGGCAGGCGGCAGAGAATCACACTAGGATGAACAGTCCAAGATAATACATGAGAGATCAAATAGACAGGGGAAAAACGCTCAGAGATGTTAGCCGTGGCAAAACAAGACTTCGCGAAAACTAAGAGTCCGAATGCAGCTTAAATGGGGAAGCTAAGGGAAAACCCCTGTGCCAGTAATCAGTCCCAGGTACGGGGTGTATGGGAAATGGAGTCCATGAATGCTAGTACTCGGGAGAGGGTGCCCTCCGGTGGCGGTCGGAGAGAGCCACAGAGGCCTGATTTGTGACAGTTTTACAGAAAATCAGGATATGTATAAATCTGGACATATATATTGAACTTTATATCAAGAGCTGACGATAATAATTTTGCAATGATATAGACAACCAAGCATGTTAATTTCCTGTAGCTAACAGTATGAATACAATGTAAGTCACTTTGAATAAAAACATCTGCCAAATGCATAAATGTACGTTACTGGTTGAGTGCACCTCTGAACATGTCTTTAGAGAATGTGATCACTGATTATATGCACTGCCTGTCCAAAAAATAGTTTTTCCAGCTGAATATAGGAGTCGGGGGCTAGTTGTCACAAGGTTTTGTATATCAGTAACTGTAAGGTTTTGAGTCAAAGTGTCCAATTACACAAATAGTTGTTTTCTCTTTTACACTCATAATTTTGCTAAAATTCAATATCAAAATAATCTTTGTAAGTAAACAGTAAAATACACTGACAACATTTTGACAAGAGTAAATAATAAATTATAATATGATAGCCTATAATATAATAAAGAAAGACTGAAGGGCGCTACCACATATTGACATTTAAACATCTCTCAGATCAAGAGTATTTTTCAGAAGCGTCAGATCACTGTCACGGGTTTTATTTTATACATTTATACTTTAAAAAATGTTTTTTCAGTATGTTATACACATTTATAGCCTACTTTAATTTGGCTTTTGGTTTCTGTTGGCCAAACAATGGTTTGAGATTAAGATTTTGTTTTAAATGCTATTTAAATTTTGCCCAAAAACTTTAACTATAGTTCAACTTTTAAATGTTGTGGAAGATTACTTTGTTTAGGGTTGTTTTTTTGTTTTTGTTTTTAGTTTTCGAGTTTTGACAGTGTTTCATGTTTTATATATTTTCAAATCCCTAGCCATTTAATTGAGCACAAATAGGGAATTATGTCGGCAATTCCACACACGACGCGATGACCCCCCGTCCTTTGTCGCGTCGCGGTGGGGAAATCCTTCTCGCACGCGGCTGAGATCTCTCTCTCACCCCGCCTCCTGTAATACGATCAGTTGAAAAGCCATCAGAACCCACGCTCCTCTCTGTTCACTTCTTCTGGTCCACTTTAATTCATCCAGCTGAACGCAAGAAACGCGCGCGAGGATGCGGGCGATTCCGTCAGAACGCATGCTATTTAAATTTTGCCCAAAAACTTTAACTATAGTTCAACTTTTAAATGTTGTGGAAGATTACTTTGTTTAGGGTTGTTTTTTTGTTTTTGTTTTTAGTTTTCGAGTTTTGACAGTGTTTCATGTTTTATATATTTTCAAATCCCTAGCCATTTAATTGAGCACAAATAGGGAATTATGTCGGCAATTCCACACACGACGCGATGACCCTCCGTCCTTTGTCGCGTCGCGGTGGGGAAATCCTCCTCGCAAGCGGCTGAGATCTCTCTCTCACTCCGCCTCCTGTAATACGATCGATCAGCTGAAAAGCCATCAGAACCCACGCTCCTCTCTGTTCACTTCTTCTGGTGCACTTTAATTCATCCAGCTGAACGCAAGAAACGCGCGCGAGGATGCGGGCGATTCCGTCAGAACGCAGTCCTTTCTCGGTCTCCGCTCTCCGTGGAGTGGCTGTATGTTTGTCCATGTGGACGTGCGCGGTCCGGTGTGGGAGCGTCGCTTGTTCTCCGCCCGCGGCGTCAGTGCAGGAGCTCGCGCGCCGCTCAGGGGTCGTGTTTGAGGGGAAGCTCCAGGAGGGAGAGCGTGCAGAGCGGAACTGGACTGAAACGCGGGGTGAGTCGCCGGTCAACGTGTCGCGGCAGGTGCGCATCAGAGTGCAGCAGGTGTGGCAGCTGAAGGCGGGAGGGCTGCTCAAGGACTCTGTGGTGTCTCTCATCTGGTTTGAAGGTGGCAGGTGTTTCCAGCTCAACACCGGGATCCGGTACATGTTCTTTATGGAACCCACAAATGACACGTCCGTGTTCACGGCAGTTTTCCCGCCGGTGGAGACCAAGCGCACCGTGAGGAAGAATGTGAGTCAGGTGCTCTGTCAGGACTGCGGTAAGAAGACACTTTAACTGTCTGCTGGATGTTCATGTTCATAAATAATTATATCCACGTGTGAGCCGATTCAGTGACACACAGCAGCAAAACTAAAGTAGAACTTTATTTTTGTGTTTTGTTTTGCTTTGCTTTGTTTTGTCTCCTGTTGATCTTGGTGATAAAGTGGAGCTCAGGGACAAATATGGTGATGCTATAAGATGGTAATATCATGGTACTGAATGATGCATGATGGTATTGACACTCCAATATTCTATAAAGAATACAGCGGTAATGTCATTGTACATGTCATTGCATTGGCAGACATCCTTTACAGCCTGCATTTGAGCTAAATATTTTGCCATCTGATGTTCATTTTACAGACTAGTTAAGCATGCATCCTCTGAAGATCTCTATGTCAGACAGTTAGACACAATGTTTTATTAAAACTTGTTTGAACAGTTTGACATGACCATGTATGGACAACAGTTGTTTTTAATTTTTGGCTCTCCTTCAGGCTCACTCAAGCTCACGTCATGCAAAATAATTATTTAAAAGCTGGACTGTCATTGCCTGAAATCTGTGTTTTTGGCAGGATTTCAGCAGAGATTATTGTCACTAATGTCATCACCAGATTCTGATGGATTACACAAATTCCTGCTCAACCTTGTTGCCTCTGCATTGAAGCTAAACCTTATAATTTCAGCTAGAGACATTCCAGGATACTTTTGACTTGATGGACTCCTGCATAAAGCTGTCAGAGCTCTGAATGTCACATCACGCAATGTTTGAAAAACCTTTGTGTACATACAGATCTTATGGGTTAACGGTTAGATGAGTTGTTAGTATTTCAATGAACGGCATTTTGATGAATGATGAAAGGAATCTAAAGTTAAATGTTTTCTATTAACCTTTTGTCTGCTAACCTGGTTACCTACAGTTAGCTGATTTTGCTTGGTGCTTAAACACAAGGTCCAAGTATAGTTAAATTTTTAGTATGAGTGTGTATTTTTATAAGAGGCTACACAAGTTGTTATGCCTGCACCAACAGTGTCGATATTCTAGCACTACACATTAGTGAATCAGTTTGTTTTGGTTATGAATGGATATGAGACCAGCAATATAACAGCATGTCTGTGAAAGGTTTGTGTTAGAAAACGGAATAATATTTTGGCTTTGTGATTGAGCTGCCTTTGTTTGAATTTGGCATCCGTTGTAGTCGCAAGATGAAATCCTCCAATTCCAAGTATTGCTTCATCGACTGTATGCAGCAGTAATGCTGTAAGAAGCTTTGAGATGTTCATGAGCTCAATGTTGCTTTGTGTTTTCTCACACACATATATAGTACAAAAGATTCAACAACTTGTTAAGCTTGAGTTTACCTTGAGCATTCATTCCAGTAGTGCTGGACTTGCACACAGATGCCTGTCGAGTGTGTTTAATTACCACTTGTGCTGGTTTTGTTGCCATCTGATGTTAGTGAAGGTCATTCTACTTCCAGTCCTTCTGTGAATGTTCTCCTCTCCTCTCCTCTTTCCTCTTTGTGCTTTGGTATATTATGAGAATTATGCTGTAAGAAGCTTTGAGATGTTCATGAGCTCAATGTTGCTTTGTGTTTTCTCACACACATATATAGTACAAAAGATTCAACAACTTGTTAAGCTTGAGTTTACCTTGAGCATTCATTCCAGTAGTGCTGGACTTGCACACAGATGCCTGTCGAGTGTGTTTAATTACCACTTGTGCTGGTTTTGTTGCCATCTGATGTTAGTGAAGGTCATTCTACTTCCAGTCTTTCTGTGAATGCTCTCCTCTCCTCTTTCCTCTTTGTGCTTTGGTATATTATGAGAATTTGACGTTGAGAATTCTAAATAGCTTGTGGACATTATTCAATGTTGAAGAAGAATTGAAAAGCATATGTCAAATTGATACATTTAACACATTGCTGATTTTCACCGTGTCTTTTTTGTAAGTGAGATTTAGATTCAGATTGTGATCCAATATCATGATATACAATACAGTTAGTGAAAGCAAGAAATGTTGCAATAATAATTTTGAGGACAAGTAATTAATGTTTATTTAAATGCTTAACCATATTTTAAGCACTTTCAAAAAATGTTTTTTTTTTCAATTTCTATAATGGCAAAGAAATGGATTGATTTTAAAGGCTTTGACTCCTAAGGGAACTACAAATTCCATCCTTGTGTCAGATAGTAACATTATTCATTTTCTTTATTGAAACGTATTGATTTACAATTCCCTGTAGGAGAGGGTATTACTGAATGAACCCTGGCTTTAGCTGAAGCAAAGTGGAATATATGAAGACAAAAAATTCTAGCACAGAGGTGTCCAAACTCAGTCCTGGAGGGCCCGTGTCATGCAGAGTTTAGCTCCAACTTCCTCAACACACCTGGATGTTTCTAGTATGCCTAATAAGACCTTAATTAGCTGGTCCAGGTGTGTTTAATTGGGGCTGGAGCTAACTCTGCAGGACTGTGGCCCTCCAGGAGCAGGTTTGGACACCCTTGTTCTGGCAGGTTGTTGGACTTTTACAAATCTATTTTTTTAAACTTCATTAGTTTTTTACTTGTGAATGTTTTCATTGTTTTACTACAGTGAATAATATCACTCACACAAAATCCAAAGTTAATGCTTCAAAGAAAAATAGCATCACATCATTATGCCAAGCATTACAGTTTATTTATTAATCTTTTTGTTTGTTTTGTTTTATTTTTTATTGCATTGCATAAACTTTTGAGTGTGTACTAAAGAGAATTTATTGTAGGACAGCACACGAGCTGGATCTGTGGCAGATGAGTATGAGAGCTGAAGTTAAGTCAGTGCACATATCTCAGAAGGGTTACAGAGATAGCCCAGTCATAATCCTCTGTCCTTTCACAGATTATCCCATAATCACATCTTTATTCTGCATTCAAATGGCCCACATTCAACATGAGCTCCTAGAAAACCAAAAGTGTGACACCCTGCAGTTTTATGATGTTGCTTACTATCTAATTACAATTGCAAGTGCAGTGCTATTTTGCTATTTTATTGGGACAAATTTCTATTAGAATACAAAATAAAGTAGTCTGGGTCTGTATTTGTGTTATGACTTCAGTAGTGCCACTTACAGCTGTTTTAACAAAATTTAACAATTAATTAAATGTATGTACATTTTATGTGTAATTGCATCATTCAGGACAAATGTATTCAAGTCAAGTCACCTTTATTTATATAGCGCTTTATAAAATACTGGTTGTGTCAAAGCAGCTTTAGTGTCAAACAGGAAAATAGTTTGTCAATGATGCAAGAAGACAATAACAAAGAGTCATTTTTCAGCTAAAGTCAGTTCATTGATGATTGAGCGATGTCATCATCCAGTTTCCTACTCCAAAGGGAGATATTTCGTTTTTAAAAAATCCCTTTTCAAGAACTACAACGAACGACTCGTTTGGACTACAGCGTTTGTTTTCCGGGCTTTGTGATATCACAAAGCGGCTCATTGGAATATCATTACAAATAATTCCCGCCTACGGAGATTCGAATGGTTGGGGGGTGGGGAGGGGCGAGGTTGTGGTTAGAACGCTTGGTTGAGTGAGTGCATCAGACGAGACGACGAAGAAGAAGTGCTGCTGCAGAGTTAGTGCATCAGAGAAAACCAAGAAGAAGAGCTGCTGTGCTGTAGCGTCAAATTTTCGGCATGTCTAAAACAATTCTTACAAGTATAACACGAAAATGTCTCCGTTCCAAGGTTTTTAACGTCACAGGACGATGTTGTGAAGCAGTAATTTTCCATTGCTACTGTTTCTGGTGTGATAAAACTTGGTTTTGTGCTGGTCAGACGAAGTCTGAGCATTGAAACATATGCAACTAAGATTATTCAATAAACTTTTTTTTATCTTCATCACTTCGTCTCCTGCTTCTGCTCTTTTCTGGCTTTACTCAGTCAACTTCTTGGCTGATAGAAGACTGTTAATACAGTAAAATATAGTTTTGGGTACCAGACAAGGATTTGGATATTCGACAACTTTGCTGACTAGTTGTTCTGTTTCCAAACAAAACAGATATTTTCTGACAGGATCTGGCGTATGGATTTAATATATCTGGTGTGGAAGCATGATCTAACACACTAAACTTGATCGGTAGCTCAGCTGGAACAGCATCGCACTTGTTATGTGAAGCGCTCGGGTACCAATCTCGTGAATCACAACAGTCAATAAAAGACTCAAAGACTCGTAGAATCAAGCTAAAATGGCATGGATGCTTTAGCAAACACGTTTTCATCCCATGTTTGCTTTTGTCAACACCACTTGTTAGATTAAGAGTAGGGTTTAGCGTAGGTGGTACACTATAGAGCCTTAATCTTTTACCACCACTCACCAGACTGCCACGATACATACAACTTAAAAGAACAATCGCCACATTCACTTTCACCTGTTTTGTATAAAACTGAACTGGTGCAAAGCACGCATGAAGCAACGTAATATAACTTTGCAGAAATGTCACCAAAGGCATATTTTTTCAATGAGTTTAAGTCAGCATAATGTCTGTTGAGGGACCATCAAAATAAAGTGTTAGCAGATTTTAAGCAGACAGTCCACTAATACGCTACTGACTGCTAGCTGACATGTAGTTGCAAAGTTACTTATAGTGAGTAGAATGTCTAAAGTGGGCTCTCAAAATAAAGTGTTCCTCTGCTATTCCAAATGTGTATATGCAGCTCATCCAATTAGAATGTATAGTAGGAACTACAGTAGAATCTTTCACAAAATGATTTCAATTGTGCCATTAGTTTTAGAAACACTTTTAGAAAACCTGTGAATGTGAATGATGGGAATTTGTGATATAATTTAGGTTCAGAAAAGTGTATTACCATACAAACATGTAACTTGTGTGAGATGACACTTGTGTTTGAGTGAGTGTGTTTTGACTGAGTTTGGAAAACGTTTCAGCGTGCTCAAAAGTTCTGGTCTGAAAACGTCCCTACGGTCTCTTGACTCACTCGTCAGTGTTCTGAGGACCTGCGTCTGCTCCGGGTCCGTCATTTGCCGCCGAACGTTCAGAATTTGTTTGATGGAGTCCAGCAGGTCAAAGACTTGTGCCAGGTTACTCAGAACCGCAATCTCTGCAAGAGAGACCACATGATCGCATCTCACGAACAGTAATTCAGCCACATTCTACTTCCAGCACTACACTTGAATAACAACACAACAACATGGACTGAAATAAACTGACAACTAAATGACATACTAAATGTGTTTTTCATGGATCAACTTGAACAACAGGCTACAAGATGCTCCAAAAAACCAAATGCACCTGGTGAATCTCATCAAGTCTGAAAATGTATTGAATTGGTTAAATTAATTAATTCAATTAATTCAAAAAGCTTGACAACCCTGGTATAAAGGTCTTAATGATAATAATTAAAGAGCTGCAGAGGTTGATATCTTTTCACTTAAGAGTATTTTTGTCCTGAAGATCTGAGCTGGTTCAGGTGTGTTTGATTAGGGTTGGAGCTAAACTAGCACAGATGACGTACTGACCTGCGTCCTGTAGAGAGCTCTGATCGGTGCGTAGCTGAACTCCTCTCAGCAGACTCAACAGCTCTGAGTGGATATTGGACACCACCTCCCCCATCAGCCCCACCTCAGTGATACCCCTCCAGAAACTCAGTGTCTCATCTGGGGGTCACACACAGTACAGCATTTATGACCTCTGTGGACGCCATCTTCATTAACATATGTAGTCACCTTTGTCACCTTTATTTATATAGCGCTTTATAAAATACTGGTTGTGTCAAAGCAGCTTTAGTGTAAATAGTTTGAAAATAGTGTGTCAATAAAGCAAACAATTCAATTCTGCCGTGCAGCTCTGACCACGTGACTTTCTGAAGGTTTACCTGAGATCTCAGTTGAGTCTCTTTTCTCTGGGCTTTCTACCGTGGCTGTGCTCCACTCCACCATACCAATCACGTCTTCTTTCTTCTCCTCTACTAGGCTCAGTCGGGGGCCAGTTCTCCTCTGAACAGACGAAACCAGCTTGGTGTGGTTTAATTCCAGGCTGCAACACAGGTCAGATTGTGCAGAGGACTCGTCTGTTTCCCGTTGTCTTGTGCCGATGGTCATTGAGGTGATGAGGTCTTCGCAGGGGATCTTTCTCTGGGGCTCATCTAGTTGACATGGTCTCCGCTGACATTCAGGGCTGTAGAGGTTGTCTCTAGGTGCTGATCCACCATCTGGACTGGATACAGACTGGATCTGTAAGATTTAAACTGACAGAGTGTGTCTGCCTCCCGAACAACGCTAGGTAGATTGTTACAGAGTTTGGGTGCTAAATAGGAAAAGGATCTGCCGCCCGCAGTTGATTTTGATATTCTAGGTA